AGGATTTACCCTTTGATGGTGCCGGCCTGTTCAATTCCACAACCGATGATACCATGGAGGACTTTCATAAGAAGCGCAAAACCGCGCGCTCCTATTCTGCTCAACCTTCTGCCTCTTACCAACAGCCCTTCTACTGCTCGGGCCAGTTTCATCCCAAACAATACCAGAATCAACGGTTCCAGCCTTATAGACAGTATCGTCCTCACCAAACTGACAGGTCCTTACCTGCACCTCAGCCTCTGATGGCATCATACAGGCCTCAAAGCTTACCTTGGCAGCGTCAATCCTTTCGTAAAGGACAACAAAAGGGTAAGCAATATTGACAACTACCTATGCCTGCCTTTTCTGACATTCTTCTTTACCCACTGAACTGTACCAGGCTGGCCCCATTTCTCCACCGTTGGCAATCCATCACCTCAGATAAATGGGTTCTATCCATCATAGCATCTGGCTACCTCATAGAATTCTCCGAACTACCCCCGTTGGGGTTTATCCGTTACACCCCCTACTCCTCTGCTCTGCAAGATGAGGTTACCAAACTTCTCCAGAAGCATGCCATTTTTCCAGTCCCTACTTCGGACTCCCTCAATGGTTTCTACTCAAAATACTTTACTGTTCCTAAAAAAGATGGAGGCCTTCGCTCCATCCTTGATCTCACTCACCTCAACCGTTTCATATCTCCCCACAAGTTCCGAATGCTTACACTGGACACTATTATCCCTTTGCTTTCAGAGGGAGACTGGTTCATAATTATTGACCTGCAGGATGCCTATTTCCACATATCCATTCATCCGGACCATCAGAATTCCTCTGTTTTCATTTCAACGGCACCGTTTTCCAATTCTGTGCCCTCCCGTTCGGGCTCTCCACCGCCCCCCGGACTTTCACCCAGTGCATGGCACTGGTGGCTGCCTTTCTCCGGCTACAGGGAGCAAACATTTATCCCTACATCAATGACTGGTTGATAGTGGCGACATCGTACCACGACGCCATAAAAGCACGAGACACAATGCTCCATACGCTGCACAGTCTTGGCCTCAAGATCAACCTCGAGAAGTCCCACTTGATTCCAAAGCAGACAGCGAAGTTCATAGGCATGGAAGTAGACGCCCTCCGTGCAAGAGCTTTCCTGCCTCCAGACAGGATCAGGAAAAGCCAAAAGGCTGTCCGCCTTTTCCAAACACATCACTCCGTTTCAGCGCATCACGCCCAACACCTCCTGGGGCTCATGGTATCGATGACGGCTGTCGTCCAACAGGCCAGACTCAAAATGAGATCTCTGCAGGCATGGTTCCTTTCCCTGTTCAATCCCAGAACAGATCTCCCTTCCACCCTACTGCAGGTGACACCAAAACTAGCCTCCCAGCTCGACTGGTAGACTCGCCCCGACAACCTCCTCATCGGCAGGCTTTGCTTGCCTCTCAGACCTTCCATACAGGTCACAACCGACGCCATCCCCTTATGCTGTGGGTTCAGTGCAGTATCAGTGCAAGTGGAAGAAATATGTCTTTATCACCTGAATCCAACGAAGAATTTTCATTCTTCAGAATGAGAATTGTCCATACACAGCCTAGTGATGGGTTTGTGGTGCATTCATTGTACCTTGCTTTTAAATTGCATTACTGTGTGAAATCACTCTGTTATACCTGGTGTGACAAGTTTCAAGTATTATATTCATGCCCTACAGCAATACTTCCACAATTTCCCTGAATCCTTTAGCCACCACTGCAATACAATGAATAAAAGTTAATGATGAAATTACTGCCAACAGCTGTAAGAATGCTGCCTTCTGCATGATCACAGACATCATTTAATGAAATGGAGCAATTTAAGCAATGATACTTGCTGGAAGCTGCTTTCATATAAACCATCTCACAAACTGCCCTATAGAACTAAATAATAAATAGCACAGAAAGTAATAAAGAGAACCAAGCTATGGAGGCATTTAAAAAGAGACCCAAGATAGACTAGAGAAAGGTACAAAGGAAAAGGAATGAAAGTCAGTTCCGCTCTTCCCATTGAACAATACAGCAAATATACTCAACTCAAACAGCATTTTTGGTTGGAAAGAAAGCTCATCAGAGCTCTGCAGTGTCAAGGCCAATAACTATTTTGTGTCAGAAAAGTAAGTTTCATATAAGAAATCAAACTCAGATACAGAAAGCAAAACAAAACTCAGTCAGCCAAATAAAAATTACAGTGGTGCCTTGCTTAGTGATGTTAATCCGTGTAAGAAAAAACGTTGCTAAGTGATTTCATCGCTAAGCGAGTTTAAAAAGCCCATAGAAACGCATTAAAATGCGTTTAATGCGTTCCTATGGGCTTAAAAATTCAACTTATGCAAAAAATCCTCCATGGGGCAGCCATTTTCAGTGCTTCTAAAGCGAGGCAACACAGCAGGTGGCCATTTTGGAACCGCCGATCAACTGTGGGAAAATAGGGCCTTTGGGCTGAGCGCGGGGGAGCGCTCCCCTGCACTCATCCCCAAAACCCCGCCGATCAGCTGTTCTGCAAGGGGTGGAGAGACAAAGTTGCGATGATGGGGAAGCCATCATCGCAAACCCCCACTGATCAGCTGTGCTTCG